GCTAAAACATTTTGCAAAGTCATGCAGGGTCATTTGCAGCATGACTCAGCAGAGTAATTCACAGGACACACCCACACCAAAACATACTGGTTTCCCTCCACCTCCAGTCTGGACTCAAGTTTCTCAACATTAAATAACTTTAAATATAAATAAGTATTTGTCAGAATGAGCTTAGATCTGCAGCAGGCTGATAAATATAAATGAAGTTTATCAGCCCGTTGTAGAGAAGCGTTCATCTTTCATCTCTCCGTGCGCTTCCATCACTTCTTCCTTGTTGCACGGAACAAAAGGTTTACTTCATGAACGTCGAGCTCCTTCGGCTCCTCCTGCAGACGTTCCGTCACGTGGAGACGGGAACGTTTTGACGGCCGAGGTTCTTACCGATGATCACGACGGGTAGAGTCTGTCCAGGCACGAGTTCTTTGTTGCCAAGATCCATTTTGACTGCAGAGACACAAAAACACCAAGATGCTCATGAGAAAGGTCCGTTGTTAAGAAGAGAACAGAACGAGGTCGTTTTCATCTTTAATTCAGGTCCATTTATCGGAAGGAGCTCCTCCTCTTCCTCAGCTATAGAAACTCGACTCCCTCAACAGACGACACGTCCGTTAGTATACACCACCACAATCCTCAATTTTTTTACTTTGAAAATAATCCTCATTTTTTGACAAACGTTTCATTTTTACAGACGAGAAAAACTAAACGGCCGAACATTTGTCGAAGGGATTCAGATCAACCAAAGCTTCAGGCGGCGGTCAGCCTCTACAAATCACCAAGTTACATTTATTTTGGTCGAACTTTAAAAAGCATCACTCAGGGGTTCTGTTGGGGATCAGTCTCAGCTACTACCACAGCAACACTTTAGCTGTAAAGTTGAGCGAACACACTCGTTAAAGCTGTAAAAACTGGAGACTTCCTGTCCAAACCTCCAGCTGACAGGCCAGCAGCCGTGCTCTCATTTGTGCACAGTCACGCTGGACTGCTGAGTCATGCTTACAAACGGCTCAAAGCCGAAGGAGGAAGTTGAACTGAAAGTGTGGAGTTGCCGAGAGAAGCAAAGCAGCAAGAGTTCAACCTAAAGTGAGGAAAGAAGCCGACAGAGGAACGCTCAGCGCCCGAGCACATTTCAGCAGTTTCCTTTTAAAGCCGTCGGAATAATTCCTTCGCTTCGCTCTTTGAAACGAACTCCAGGTTAACAGTGAAGCTCAGCGTCGATTCCACAACTGAGCCCAAGCTCAGCGTTTGTAGCCGAAGAGAATCAAAACGGCCGACGAGCACATTTCTCTCATTTACAAAAACTCAGTCGCTAAAGCTAAAACAAGCACACGACTCATTCAGTGTAGTGAAAAGGACATTAGCAGCTAAAACACGGCAGCAAGCCAGCTTGAAATAGCAAAGGCTATTAAAAGCTAAAGACAGCAGAAGGCTAGCCAACAGCTAAATGTGGTAAACGACTGTCTTCAAGCTAAAAGCTGCAAAAAGCTAGTTACAAAGTAGCAAAAGTAATGAATGTAGTAGAAGACTAGCTAAAAGCTAAAATTAACATAAGCCTAGCCAAGAGCTAAAAACAGCACAGTAGCTATAGTTAACAAAAAATGGTAGCTAAAAGCTAAATATGGTAAACCCTTACTACATGCTAAAAGCATCTTAACGTACTAAAAGCTAGCTATACATAGCCAAAGGTTTGCTAAAAGTTAGAAGTAGCAAAACGCAAACTAAAAGCTAAAATGACAAAAGGCTAAATGTAGTAAAAATGCTACCGGGTATATAGAAGCTAAAAACTGTAGAAACGTAATGTTTAAGCAAGAAGTTTGCAGTTTTAAGCTTCTTAGTAATTGAAATCAGGTCTCATGTAAACGAGTCCTCGAGGCTCAATGGCATTTACTCGTCTAAAATAAAAGGTTGAATGAGTGAATAGTAGCCTAGCTAAAGAAGTATTAAAAGTAGCTAAACTAGCAGAAAGCTAGCCAACAGCAACACAGCAGCTAGAAGTTGTGCAACAGTAGCCAAGAGAACCTGAAGACAACCAATTTAAAGAACGTTTGAAGGGTTCTGTAGAGCTCCGATGATTTCTACAGGAAACGGTTGAAAATAAAGTGAAGCATTTTGAAAAGTGTCAAAGTTACAACCGTCGCCTCCTCAATGAGCTGAACATTTTAGCACGAAACAGCTGAATGTTTTAGCACTCAAAGAGCTGCAGACGTAGCGCATTATCAGATGCTTTTTACAATCTCATCTTTGTGACGCAGGAAATAAAAAACGTGCACCTGCAGCACGGGAGTGTCCAAAACCACGAGAACCGATGGACAGAGCACACGAGCCGTCACTCACGTGACAATTACTCATTTGATGGTGCGACAGCTCGAAGCTTGGACGAGAGCCAGGAGTCGTAGAAAACGTGGCAGACGAAGGTTTTCCTCTTGAAATGTGTAGATGCTCATCATTAACCTCCAGCTACTCAATGGACGACGTCAACAACAACAACAACAACAACAACAACAACAACAACAACAACAACACAAGCTGCTGTCTGACAATTAGCATAGACGCCAACTTCTAATTAAAACGCCAGAGCCAACGTGATCAGCATCAGGTTTATCTGGGGGGGGGGGGGGGGGGGGCTGGATGCTCATATTCAAGGTTTCACCGTCGTGTTCACAGAACCTCTTGAACCAAAGATGAACGTTAAACCCCGTACACCCCTCGTCCATCTTTACAGTCCAGTCTGTTCCTCCTGAAGAAAGCGTTTCCTGTTGTCCCGCGCAGACAGATGTTCACACCTGGCAGAAACATATGGGCGAAGACGTCGAGCTGCAGCATCAAACGAGGACACTGGACCCCTAAACTTGTTGTTCGGGAGGGACGTGCACGGAGGTCTGGTCTGAAGCACGTGGGGGGCAGACCTGGACTCGTCAAGTCTTTCAGACGAAAGAGTAAAACAAACGGTCCACATGACACCGTCCAACCTTTGGTTGGGAGTCATGGAGGAGAGTTTTATCAGCGTCACTGGCGCCAAAAGTTACAGCAGGAACTGTTGACTGATGTCCATTTTACCTCGTCTGGCTCAGTTTTGATTTCAGGATTCAAAGATAAACGTGCACGTGTTTGTGGTGTGCACACACACCGTGTCCTCTGCATCACTTATGCAAATATTTCTCCACCCGTTTCCCCGATGAAAGACAATGCACCTGCCGGACAGGTTGACACTCGGGCGGCGGATGTTAAAAAAGAGCTGAGAGTTTTGAAATAACTAAAAAGCCCAAGACGGTCCCAACTGTTTGACAGCTGCAGCTCTCGGCAGCCAAAGGTCATCCTTGATGTTCGAGCCGCTTCATCATGACACAGCAAAAAACACAAAAGCACAACGGTTCATTCAGGAAGCACAAACTGAAACACGACATGTTATGTAACCAACTCGTAATCACAACTTCCTGCAAGAGACCGAGCAGCCAAATCTCACAAATGCTCCCAAAGCTCCACTTAGAAAAAAGGAATAATTACCTGAACACTTCTAAGTCCCTCAGCAGTTTCAGAAAATTATTTAATCCTGAAGTTATTCGAAGGAAACAGAACGAACCATCTGTCCCTAAACGTGTTCATTTGTCGTTTACATACGCTCCCAAAGTGGTTTATGATCAATTTTATGAGTTTCTAACAATCAAAATGACATAATTCATGAAAAGTAACAAAAAAAGGCACAGAGAACGAGTCACATCCTGTTGAAGTGTACGTTCTTTGAAACCATTTGCAAACTGCTTCAAGGAAATCCTGAACAGAAATAAACCCCGATCTTTCTGCATTGCTGATGGTGACAGCACGATTCAAAACGGGCGCCACTAAAACGCCGTAGATCGGCCGGTTTTAGATCTGGGCAACATCTTGGTGACGAAGATCTCCATTATGTGCTTTGACACTGGGAAAAAATGTTAGCAAAATATCTCTAAGCTGAACAAACTTCAAATTCACCATCAAAACTTGTGGGGTTTTATTTTTATTTAACTTTTCCTAAAAAGGCAAACGACCAAGTTGAAACATTTTATTTGGTTATCACTTTGATAAAACATTTCCTCGTAAGGTCCGACGCTAACCTCCAACGATACGATCACACTTCTACAGAACGAAACGTCCGCTCTCGTAAAGTTCAGTTGATTTTTACAGAAACTAAACATCAACGTGCTCGGATGTTACTTTTGGATCGGGTTTCCTTCTTTTGTAGAGTGAATTTTTGGAGTTATTTCAATTCAAGATGGCCGCCACAGCTAATAGACCTAATTGGGGCGGGGGGGGGGGATGTCTTTAACAGTCAATTTTACAGATATTGAGTTCAAATGGCTGGATGAGACTGATCCCAACAGATCACACCAAATTAATGTTTAGAACTGTGTGAAGAACTCTTTGAGTCAACCGTCTGTTAGCAAAATATCCCACAACTCACAAGAGCCATTTTAATGAAACCTTCAGGAAGTAATCTTTGCTCAAAGACTTAATATTTCAGCATGGTCACAGTCAAACGCAGTTTGGTCAGTTATTCCAATATTAAGCTAACACTTGGGGTGGTAGTAGCCCAGACTGATCCGAACACGTGCTCATGAGCACTGATCGCATGCGGTTGGAAGGATTTCAACAAATCGTTGAATCATTTCAGCGTTCGACCTGGCTCACCACGTTTCATGCCGGATCGTTATTTTGGCAGCAGGTACAACAGACTCCCTCCAACCTAACCCAAGCCTAGAAAATTAATTAGTTAATTAAAAAAGTGTGTAAACGTTTATTTAAAAGCATCACGGGTGCGTCTAATCCAGAGCCCTGTAAAGAGAGAGTTGCGACACTCCCATAGACTCCCATAGAAAGAATGGAATGCGGAAGTCACGTGGGTCATGAAGCGGCAAAGAGTTCCAAACAGCAGCGGTTCAGCATTGAACGTAGTTCATTTTCCGTGTTTTTCCGGTAAGTTAAATGCAAATACGACACTTTTTCTCCATTGTGAAGAGTTATCTGACTGTTCTGTACCTCAATTTATCAACATTAATACTTCATGTCTCCAGTTTTAGTTAATGAAACATGTTAAATTACTAGTTGTGTTTTAACTGCAGCTGCTCTGCAACATGACGGTTTAAACGGGTCTATTTCTAATTCAACGTTTTGAAATATCTATTACTGCTTAAATTTTGAAAGGTGCTCTTTTTTAAATTTATGGTAATTCCAGTTACTGAACTCAACTAGAAAATATTTGGCCTTTTTTGTTCTGAGAGATTCATTCAACCTTTATTTCTACAGGTAGATCCCATTGAGCCTCGAGGACTCATTTACAACAGAGACCTGATTTAACAAAGAAAGATGACAACATGACAACAAGACTGACGTAATTTAGTTCAAGTTATAGATCATTTGTCAAAGACTGCAGCATAAATTGTGACATTATCATTAAAGAAAAACATGATTGT